CTTATATAATGACTTTTCAGTAGTTATTAGCATTTTGCCAGCTATTGTTTATCACTTCAACCTAATGTTATTTTTCCTTCATTCAGTAAACAGATTCATGGTGACTCTTAATTCCCTCATCTTACTTGTGTGAAACACTCAGTAGGAGTATTTTGAAAGAACAAATTCATTATGAGGGTAACCTGCAAGAGAAGGTACTTGTCCCCAAGACCTCTTGCATTTCGCTTCACATATGAACTCTCCACAATGACCAGCACTCTGGAGCTGAGGGTCCCTTCCTGCTCAGAAGAAGAAAAGAAGGCTGGGTTCTCTCTGCTCTCACGTTCTCTTTTCCTGTTCTGTCTTCTCTCCCAGTTGTTTCTCCTCATCCTCACACTGTCCTAAGCCTAGTTATCTAAGGGAGACTACTTTCTAATGAGTCATTTTCAGTGTTTTTCCAAAATGGCTTAGGAAGCATGGGCACTCCATACCATTATACGGGCCACAAAAAGACAGTGGGTGAACTGAAGAGGAAAAATTATCTCATGACCAGCATTTTTATTTATCTTGTTTTGGCCTTAAGAAGTTATTGTTTTCAAGATATACCTTAAAGAACATTTACTGTCTTTTATTAACACATAGTTTATTCTCAAAGTTTTTAATAGGCTATCCATGATTTGTATCATGTAAATAAACTCCCTACTCTGATTAAGCCTAATGCACATTTAAACTGTTTGGACTTTACTTGTCTTCCAGAGTTCTGTGGTAAAGAAACTCTCAAAAAAATGCTTTTGGGGCTAAAACAATCAACCTTTTCCCTCTTTATGTTATTCTCTGTGAACTCTATTTTGCACCATCCTGGTTGCCCTCTGCATTTAAGTCCATGAATATATGCCTCTTACTGTTCCGTATCACTCCTCTGGTGTCTTTCACATGGAGCAGTTGTATGAGAATAGTTCTTCGTTCTACATGGTGCTGAATTGTGCTATGCGGATTCCTGCAGGGAGCAGGAAGACTGGCAGGCATGTCTGGGCTTCAGTATAACTCACATTTGTCACTAAGTTTCTTGTTACTTCCTTCTGTGCCCACCCTTGATGAGAGCAGACCAAAGCCGACCCACTCAAAATCTTAGAAATATTGGAAATGCAGGAACAGCTGTGTTTGAAGCCTAGAAACACCATGCAACATTCTCAAAGCCAAGTCACGCCACTTGGCATTGTCCTTAGATACACTCTGCATTATTTTTGGTCAAGAGGTAGAGAACCACTAATGAAACATGCTGATTTCCTCAAACTCAGTCTGTGGAGTCAGTTTGTCTGGGCTCCTAATCCTTGCCCATCCTTTAACTGATACTGTCTGAAAGTTGCTTTTCCTTTCTAAGCTTGAGGTCCCTTCTCTGACAATGGGGATAAAACTAAACTTTCCTTACAGGGGCAGGGTTACCTGCAGAAGTGTATGTGACATGCTTGACTTCCTGCCTGACACAATATGTCTTCAATAATGTTAATAATGATGATCATTATTACCAATCGGGACTTAAAAGCAATTTCTAGTGTGTGTAAAGAAATAGTTATAAACTAAGTACATTTTGATTAGAACAAATATTTGTTCTTCCTTCTTCATGCTCAGAGTGTGTGGTTTGTTGGTGACCATCATTTTCTTGGTTCAGTGACTACAGCTCTTAGCAGGGGACATGTATCATGTCTTTGTTTCCATGCTGGATCACAGAAGGGAGATAGTTCAAATTCTTACCTCATGGTGAAAGGAAGTGAGTGTGATTCTAAGTACTATAAGAAGGCATCAAAGAAGATGAAGCAGGTTTATCAGTTCAAGAGAAAAGAAAGCAGGCCAGGCAGGGCTAGTGAGTGGCTCAGAGTACTGGTGCCAAGCAGTCTCCAGAGCTACTCCTGTAGGCTCTCTGCTGGCCTCTACATGACCTATACACACTCATGTGCACACAATAGATGTAATAGAAGTCAAATAGGGGCAGTGAGATGGCTTACTGGGTAAGGACACTATTTGCTATAGCCTGGTGACCTGAGTTTGATCCCTGGAACTTATGTAATAGCAGGAAAGCACTGGAGACTTCCACAAGTTTTTCTTTTATTTTCACATGTACACAGTGGCACAAGGCTACTTCCAACAAACAAACAAACACAAACAAATGTACTAATTTTAAAAACAATGTTGTATCAGGGCTGGAGAGATGGCTTAGCAGTTAAGAGCATTTACTGATTTTGAAGTGGACTCAAGTTGGGATTCCCAGGACCATGCCAGGAAGTTCACAACCACCTATAACTTCAGCTCCAGAATGATGTGATGCCCTCTTCGGGACTCTGTGGGTGCTTGTATTCTTGTGAATATACCCCCACACAGATGAGCACATGTGTACACAAAATAAGAATACATCTTAAAAATTCAAACAGTATGGGGTGATATAAATTAAGCATTCTTTTGTCTCTAGAGATTGAATAAAAAAAAAAAAAAGAGCATCCATGAAAGGTTTTAAAAATCAGAGAAAATGAAAGGTAGATCAGGGGCTCATGAGATGGCTTAGCAGGTCAAGGGGCTTACTGCCAAGCTTGATGACCTGAGTTTGATTCCTGGAACCCACATGGTAGGGGAGAACTGACACCTATGAGTTGTTCTCTGACTGATACATCTGTGCTCAAACACACACACCTTTATACTCACATACCTAAACAAATAAAATCAAACAAACAAGCTACCGCTGAGTAAGTATATTGGAGGACAATGCATCCATCCCCCTTCCATTTTCATGGTAAACGATACATGTGTCTACAAGTATTCTTAAACCTATAGCTTCTCCTCCTCTTTTCTTCTTTGCTTTTTAAAACACAAATGGGATTTACTCTTCAGTACTTCGTTCTAGCTCACTTCATATACAGATCAATATGATTTATTCCTTGGGGATTTATCTTGCTTTGTAAACAGAATGTTTCATTTGTGCTCTGCTGGCAGTCAGCTTCTCATTGCTGTGACAAAATACTGGAGAGAATCAGCTTCAAGGAGACAAGGGTTATTTTGACTCATGGTTTCAGCTCAGAGTGACCTTTTCTTACTGGATTTGTGCTGGTGGGACAGATCATTGGCAGAACATTGTAACAGATGCTTTGATGAGCAGAGGAAGTTAATCACTCACGTTTGCCAGGTTGTAAAGCTAGAGGGGAGATAGGGAGGGAAACAGGGAGAGATGGAGAGAGACAGAGAGGGGGGGGGCACACACAAACATCAAGCATGTATGCACATGTGACTTTAGTAACTCCCATAAGTGTGATCAGATACCTGATATGTAAGCACCTTCAGAAAGAAAGGATTTAATTTCACAATGAATCTAAGGGTACAGTCTATTACTGGGGAAGGAATGGTGACAGGAGACTCTATGAACCAACTAGCAGAGAGAGAGAGAGAGACTGTGACCGAAAGCAGGGAAAGCCCTTGACCCTTGGTGACCCATTTATTTTATCTATGACCCTATGTCTTCCATCTGTGACACATCCTTAAGGTTCCACAACCTTCCCAAATAGACTAGTTAGTGGGGATCAAGTGTTCATCCTTCCACAGGCTTCATATCCAATCCATAACGTCCTGTAGCTTTACTTCTGCTTAATAATTCACCACCACCTATAGTGCTGAGTGCCAGTGTCCATGCTTTAACACATGGCCCTTTGGGGAATACTTATGGTCCAAACCATGAGACACCTATGTATTTAAGCCATCTTTCTCAAAAAGAAATGTAAGCTTTCTAGTTCTTACCTTGTTAGTCATCAATGAAAATTTTAATATGCATTATGTATATGGGAATATTTTATTCATATATGTGATAGGTGTTAGACGTGTGATCCAAGTGTCCCAACGAACATGTCAGTGTCTCACTGGTGTTCCCACCTTGCCTTCCTGAGTGTTTCACCAATGATGGCAGTGAGGGAGTAACAGTCACAAGTTTTCCTTTCTTTGCTCATATTAAATAGCATCATATGTAAAATGTTTTCCAACATGATAGGAAAATGTAAGCACTTCACATTACAAAAAATGTTCAGTAAGGTCCACGCGTATCAGTGTAGATGTATAACATCAGAAATCAAAAGCAAAACTATGTGTTTATTGGAAGGGAACAGGTTTGTTCCCTCCCAGTCATGGAAGAGGGGGAATTGTCCTAATTTTGAGTCACAATTCTAAGGCAAAATTGTGTGTGTGTGTGTGGGGGGGGTGGGGGTGGGGGTGGGAGAGGATGGCCAGTTTGATGTCTTAGAAATAAAAGTGTCATGAAATTTGACCCCTCCCCCCAAAAGAATTGAGAATAATGTTGTGAGCCCTGTCCTAGATATATCATTAATGCCTCCATAAGTCTTAAGTAGCCCAGTAGAACAAATGAAAGACAGAAAAAGAAATACAAAACTTCAAAACTAAACAGGGAGGTCTTCCATGTTATGATAAGAGGGATTTACATGGATCTATACTGGCATCCCATTTTCCACTAGATTGTCAAGAGTCCAAAGGGATGACAACCCATTTAGTGGGTAATGTTTGTGAATACCATTCATAGGTCCTGTCCCTTGGGGTGTACAGTTATACATGCTGTTCAGTGAGTCTCAGAGTGTTCAAGGACTGCAATGATTATTCCTTGATTCAACAGTACCAGTGTTATGCTTAATACCAAAGGAAACCTGAGAAAAAGTAGTCACACAACCTCTCTCTCTCTCTCTCTCTCTCTCTCTCTCTCTCTCTCTCTCTCTCTCTCTCATTGGAGCACTGCTTATAATAGTAAAAGACTTTAAATAATGTAGTCTTAAAGTAGAAGTCCCATCCAGCTTCCTTGACATTCACAGGCTCCCAGACCGTATCTGACCTATGAGCTCTGGCTGGCAGTACTGGAACTGCATACTTTGCTTTTCCCTGTCCCCCATCATTCCCATGCTGCCTGGTATGGAAGTGTTTTTAATTTTATTAAATTTGATATTTATCTTTTCTTTTTTTGTGTTCACTGTTTCTTTTACTAGAAAATGCGTCAGATGCAGATTTGTGGCTCCTGAACAGTTGTACTGTGAAAAACCCAGCTGAAGACCATTTCAGAAACTCAATCAAGTAAGTAGGAGGTCCCCATTCCTTTCTCTTTAGGTAATCAAGGGAAGAACTAATGTTAGCCAATATTATCCCAGAAGCCTTTACTTTTTAAAGCATGTATTTATTTGTGTGTATGCACCACAGTGTGCACATGGAGGCCAGAGGACAAGTTGCTGGAGTCAGTTCTGCCCTTCTGTTGTGAGAGTACTAGGAACTGAATTCAGGTTGTCAATCTTGGTGGCAAGTACCTTTACCAGCTGAGCCCTCTCACTGTTTCCAAATAAGCTTTTTAAAAGATTTGTGTCACTTTGATGTCTCCTCAGCTCATCTAAAATCCTTTACCTTTTACTGAATGGTTCCTAATATTATTAAATATTTAGTATGTATCAAAAAGTATGAGTTGGACTTTAAATAGTTTTTCAAATAAAAACACTATTCTAATTAACTTACAAATAAAAACCTCCCAGCTAGATTAAGCCACTGAAGCACTATTCAGTGGACTTTCAAGCTGCTATTGTTTTGGATTTATCTGATGAACAATGTTTTACTAAAGAGTTTCATAATGCAATTTGAACATTTGTGAAGTTAATTTGCCTGGTCTGTGTGTTCTTCCCAGAGGATACAGGCATTCCTGGTGAAATTGCTTGCCATAGCCCTCTCTCCCTCCCCGTAGTCCTGTTCTAGGTGGTGTAGTGTGTGCCAGGGAGCTCCAGTACGATACTGGGACACGAGTCCCTGCTGTTTGGTTTGTTTCCTCAATGTGGAAGACTCTTTCTTCACATATGCTTTGAATCTTGTTCTACCTGCTTCCTTAGAAACCCCTTTCTATAAATTATTTCCTCCTAGGCTTTCAGCTTCTCTAACTCGGTTGGCTTCTTTCCATTGCCATTTAACATACTGAGATCTAATCAGTCCCAGATGTCTTTGTTACCTATTTTCCATTGCCTTCCCAGCCAGGCCTTTTCTTAGATCTACTTCTATTATTTATTTATTAAATATTTATTTTTAATTCATTTGTGTGTGTCTGTGTTTTGCATGTTGGGTATGTGCAGTTGACACTTGAGGGTGACAGTTTGGAGTCACAGCAAGAGGTAGCAAGACTGGATGGGGCAGGGATGCAAGGCTACCTTCAGGAGTATAAGAGATCTAAACTACACCAGGGGATGCTGCTGTTCATTTCTAGAAAATATTCTCTCTCTCTCTCTCTCTCTCTCTCTCTCTCTCTCTCTCTCTCTCTCTCTCTCTCCCTCTCTTTCTCTCTCTCAGAATGAGAAATCTGTCATATTCACAACACTGTCTATAGGTCTGTTAAAATTTATATAAAGACATTTTAGTACTACGGATTCCCCCCAGCTTGCAAACAGAGAAGATGGTCCTGTCATTGCAGATTAGTCTGTGCTTCAGACATAATAGCTCAGTGGTAGAGCATGTGTGGTGGTGTGTGGAGTCCTGAGTTCAACTCACAGTATAAAGAGAACAGCACATGGCCCGGACCAAAACAAAAACACAAGGAAAGAATGAAAGGAAAAGAGGAAAGAAAACCACCATGCAGTTTTTTTTTTCCAGTGGGTTTTATTATTGAGTGTGTAAGCAGCATTATTCTTTGGTAAATGAGCTTCAATGTCAGTATGATGTTTGGTGAAGCACCACTAATCTCAAAAGGAAATTTGTTCTTCTAATACTACAAAGCTAGGAGTTGTAAGCATGAGTTCCTTTAATGTACTATTCTTCTTGATTGAAAGAAAAATGAAAAAAAATAGTATTCTATATGATTAAGTATTTGTTAATGACTTTAGAGGCTTTTGATCCTTATAACCAGATGTTACTAAAGTAATACTTCAGCTAATGTTTGATTTGTTTCCAGAGTAAATATAATCAGGTAACATATAAAAACAATTCACACTGCGAGCATGTCAGGTCCAAGTGACGTGCATATACTTGAAGATCTGTTGAGTGTTTCACTTTACATACATGCCTTCCTGCTTCTTACCATCTGCTAACAAGAAAAGATAAAGATGAATAATCATTATTACATGTATGTACTAATATATAATTCCTATGATATACATTTATCTGCCTATGGACCCATTGCTTCAGTCTCCATTCTTGTATGTATTTTGTGTTGCTTTATGCTTTTCAATAATTTGAGGTACTTGTCCATCTGTGATGGCCAATCCTTTCTATTAGAACATCAACATCTTTTTTCTTCCCAGGATCACTTATCCATACCAATTGTTTTGCTTTATCTGCATTAAAAAATATGTTCCCTCTGGTGTGATGATAGAACCCACTGTCCCACTGAGCTTTTCCTCAGGGCCTGGAGCGTGCTGTGCACAGGCTGTACCCCTGAGCTCCTCCTCAGGGCCTTCCTTGGGCATGCTGTGCAGTGCTCAACCACTGAGCTCTGTCCTGGCCTGTCACTAATACTAGCTTGTCATGTCTCCGAGCATTTGCTTTTGCTCCTTTTCAGTGTATTCTTGGTCTTTAGTCACTCTTTGCCTTTAATTATCTATTGTTCATCACTTCGTTTTGTCCCTTGAACCCTGAGTTGGAACCATCCACCTCAATATAAAAGGATAACAGGAACACAGGTGAGTGACAGGGGTTTGTGTTTTTCATGTGATTGATCCAAGTCTCATTTACAGTTCAGCAGTTGTATGTGTGTAACAACATCTGTGCTCTCTCTCTCTCTCTCTCTCTCTCTCTCTCTCTCTCTCTCTCTCTCTCTCTCATATTTTCCTGAGGTTTTATGATATATTATTAGTCAGATTGATGAAATCACAGAACCTCTAAATAACAAAAATAGAAGTGGAGCTGAATTTCTGGACTGGCCTTGAACTTTGAACTCTTGTTATTGGCTGAACTAGTAAAGTTATAAACTGCTATGTGGCCTGAGTTTGATGATGCTGACTGCTACTTGGTTCACTCTGTTTCTTCTTGAGTGTCTGTCAGTACCTGGTTTCTGTTTGATCCATTATTCCAGCATGGTTTAAACAATATGGCCTTTAATTTGACAGACCTTTGAGTAAATGAAAATGATCAAAAGTGTGGGGAAAAAATTGCTCTTAATGAGAGTATTAAGTCAGAAAAGGCTTTGGCTTGTGCTTTACAGAAGTGTGGGGTCTTTCTCATGCCACCTAAAGGAGGTCATGCAGAGGCTGGTAAAAATAAACACATCTTGTGCGTTCCATGTAAAGACAGGAAGGGCAGCCAGCGTGCTTTGATCATGGACTGATGACCTCTGTCTGACCTTGTACATGATTAACCAAATGGGCACCAAGGTCGCACTGATAGAGCCGACAGACAAACGTCATTCCCATTTTGAACCATCCTTGCCCAGAGAAACATATGATCATGCTGACAGGATGGATTAGAGAGCCAAGGAGAATGACTTGCATGATTAGTTGAAAATAGAGAGACGCACACAACAGAAAAGGTCCACCTGAAGTACAAGCTACCCGCTTTGTCTGATGTCTTTTCTCTACAGGGCTCCCTTATACAAGGGAGAGTAATAAATGACTTTACTCTCAGTCCTACTGTGGAAACATTGTTTGTTTTATGTGGATTTATCTCTGAGTTCTTCATGAATTGACAGAGGAAGAAGAGGGCTAGTTCAGCTAGAATACATGAAATAAATTCCTTTAAAAATAAGCAGAGCTGTTAGAATAGACAAGGGCTTGTCCTCTCAGTTAGTAATTACCCTGTTTAGAAGTGAAAAATCTCAACCGATTATGTTGTTAACTAGAATCACTAATAGTTATTATTTCTAACTATAATTACTTCGGTTAATTTTAATTTTCATTTAATTTAAATGAAAAAAATTTGGTAGAAAATAAAACCACATTGGGCCTCATTTGATTTATTGTAAGAAACAGGTTAGCTAATTCAAGCTGTTTTCACGGGGGGGGGGGGGCGGGGAAGTAAGGAGAGAGAGGGAAGGAAGGGAGGGAGGGAAGAAAAGAAGGAAGCTGGGGGGGAATGTTTGTGTGAGAATGTGGGCTTGTATAGACCATAGCATGCTTATGGAGGACAGCCTTCAGCTGCCTGCCCTTGTCTTGCCCCATTGTTTGGGGGTGGGGTGTCGTTACCTGTGCTTAAACTAGGTTAGCCTCTGCAACTTTTCTGCCCTCACCTCCCATTTCCCGTACTTGCAGCAGGGATACAGATGTACTTCTGCATTTGGCTTTTGCATGGCTTTTAGGGATCCAAACCTAGGTCATTAGGCCTGAGCAGTAAGCATTGTTGTTACTCACTGAGCCATCTCCCCAGCCCACATAGGGTTTTTAGTCCGAGTCTTGTTGCACGTAGATGTTGTAACTTACCGGCTTGTGTGAATGGCTTCAGTTGATGGCAGTTCTATGTTGTCTGAAGTGTAAGGAGCAGATGTGATGAGTCCTTGTGCTGTCCTGCACCAGTGCAGTTTTCTTGTTTCAGCCAATGCTGCACCTCAGCTTTCTTGTGGTGAACTTAGTTGGGTCTTGGCCTGTATGGCTTTGTGCATTTCCATCAGGCATTGTCCAATAAGGTGATGTTTTCTCTAAATGGTTCTCTGTTCACTGTGCGTCATTCTCCTCCCATTCTCCATCTGTTCCCATCATTTGGGTACTGCAGCAGACTGGCTGGCCCCTTCCATGTCTGTTTCAGACCCTTCCTTTCTTTCCAAGAACTGGACTTGTGTGCTTCTTAAACATTTCCATGTCAGTGACCACAGATAACCTGAGGCTCCTGTACCGGTCAGAGTCTCATGTTGTCTACTTGATGTTGGCATTAAGCCCTTAATGCTTCAGCTTGGTGGATTACTGAGAACTCTTTCTATATGCTACTGTTGTCACTACTATTTACTAGTTTTGTTTGGTGGCATCATCTGGAATTTTTTTGGTTACTGTTTCCTTCCTTTCTGCCCTTCACCCATTTCTCCTTTTGCCAGCCCAGGCCTGTTGCCATTTACTTACTCATGTGATCAGTGTTCCTTTTGGAATCAACATCAAAACCGCATGCTCCCAGTTCTACCTAATTCGCTC